AAATGGTTTTGTGTTAGCATCTACGCACCTATAAAACCTTAAAAATGTTGTTTCGTTTTTCTTTCACAACAGTGAAACTTCACTTTACACAAATGCTGAATTATGCATGATGATCATGCAATATGACGCCACCATGTTGCCTGGCAACCACTCAGAAATGGGCTAAAATGGTCTGTTTTTAGCCTTTATACACCTACAAAAAATGTATAAAAGCATCATATCATTTTTATTTCACATTAATAACATTTATATCCACAAAACCTGAAATATACATGATTAGTAATCACATAGCAACTGAAATCATCCAGGTCTAACAATAGCATGGGCATGTACTAGTCATTACTTTGACTTATAATGGTAATGCAAGTCATTGACAACCGCCGTCTTCATGCTGAGAAAATATGTGATCAGACTTATGTTCCCATCATAAAAGCTGTATCCTACTGCATAGGTCTCTGAGAAATCATTTCTAATATAAGACAAGACGAGACAAAGAATTTCTGTGGTGCAGTATGGCTTAATTAATGTGACTGACAGCAGAAACAAAGACCTTCATGACACAGAGAAAAAAAACACAACAAGAAAGAAAATGTATTTTAATTTTGGACCTGTTACATCACTTGCAACAAGGATTTCATATTTAACTCCACACCCAGCGGTGGTGGTTAAATAGCTTCACTTTTTAAAACCTGACGTCAGTTTAAAAAACTAAAATCATAAATGAAATACAATTTTTTGATTGAGTTGTATTTGAGTTTACCATTTGCTGAGAATTTCATTCACACATGGTAAGTTTAACCTGCTTTAATTACTTATTTATTGTACTGGTGTGCTTTCAGAAAACTAAACATCCAACACTTCATAGCAAGAATAAATGTTTAACATCTTTCTTCTCTTCTTTTAGTTAAAATTCTCCTTGAACAGCTCATTATTAATTATTATTATTATTATTATTATTATTAAAGGAACCTACAGTCAGATTTTTTTATACTTATAGTTACCCTTGAATAAAGCAATAAGTATTACCCCCATTTTATTGTGTCCATTCTCATGCACAGATATCAAACTCTACCACGCACACAGTTGTGGCACGGAAACAAGGACCTTTGATAAATGCATGTAATATTTAAACCCTTGAATCATTAATGACCTTGAGAGCTTACTAGTGTGCTTACCACCGCAGCTGTGAGAGACTCATCATATACCGTCAACAACAGACCCCCTGGAGTAACAGCACAAAGATTCGCAAAGATCTCTGACTTGCAACTTCATTTCCCATTAAAGCAATTCTTTACAAGGGTGAGAAACCTGAGCAAAGATTCCGAAATTCGATGTGAACGATTTTTTGTTGTTTTTCTCTTTGTATAGTGATCAACTAGAGAACAAATGTCATCGCTTGAGCACGATCAGTTGCCACATATAAAAACTAAATGCTGCATGTGTCATCATCATCCTTCATCCATCCCAAAGTACATATTTGAACATATGCATGTGGGTGCACATATGTGGTGAGGACACGGCGTGAAGCAAATCTAAACAGCTTGCAGATTTGGGCAGAGAAGCCTGGGATTTTATCATTGCACGATCATTAAGTGCTCAACCCATTTTATCAGCTCGAGGTTGTGCCCCAGAATGTGGGGAGTGTGTATATCATATAAATATTTTGTTTAGCACATTTGCGTTAACATCAGAACAACTCTGGTTACGCTATTCCCAGCAGGGTCAATTACTTCAGAAATCCCCTCCAAACATGCAGCTCCTCTGCCATAAAACATTGCATCATCGTCAGCCAATCACAAGGCAGGAATCATGGGGCTTTGTGTGGCACAGACCTAGGGAATAAGCAGGTGCCCAAGTACACTAACACAGTGACATCCACACTGTGCTGCTGTCAATGGCAGGCATTTAAAGCTTAGAACAATGCTTTGGTAAAAGAAAAAGAAAACTCGTGTTACTTGTGATCTGATCCGTGCTCAAATAGAATTTAACAGGGGCCAGGATATAATGTGGTTCAATGTAGATTGTGCCCTTGCATGCAAGATAAATATCTGGCAGGTGCATAATGACATGACCTCGTACAGTCCACCTGTCTTTGCTTTCAGTATTGAAATGAAAAAATGGTAAACAGAGCAGCTCGGTGACTTGTTCCAAAACAAAACCTGTTCCATCAAATGCAAATCTTTACTGGAACTGGAACTGGCCTGAATTTTCCTAGCTGTCGTTAAAAGCAGTTTCATGTCAATGCATGACATAAATTTACTGTCTTTTTACAGGTTTATCCTTTCAGATAAATCCTCCTGCAGTTTATCTACCTCGACGCCCAGAGTATGTCGTAATGGCGCCAACGTGTCTGCACCAATGTCAAGACAAAGCCTCTGTATATCAAAGAAAATCCACCGGGCTAATGTGGCCAAAGAGGTCATCACACTACCTCACACCTAACCCGTTACTGTTCCGAAGAGAATTGGCCTGAATTTATGCCTAGCAAATCACAACATGTAACATCCAGTCAGCAGGTTACTTGTGTCTCTTTTGATGAACTATAGAATTACTTCAGCAGTAAAACAGCATCTCAGGCACTGCGGGCCCTGCTCGGGCTTTGCCTCTCTTACAGAGGATCATAAGACAGACAGGCATGCATGTTGACATAACCCTCAGCTGAACATACCAGGGTAGCATGGAGATAAAAAGCTACCAGGATCTACAGTCTCTGTACAATGGCAACATTACGATAAGTGTTAGCTCTCCGGCAGGCTAACACTGGCTTAACGCTCGACTCTGCTAATCTATTCTTTATGGTTTAGCCTTGTGAGCTGGAAAAACTCTGAAATAGGCTTATGAAAATGTTTCCATTTACAGTTACAGGAAGTGTGACAACCAAGTGTAAGAGCCATACTTCTTCACTGGTTGAGTTGGGAAAGTTAAGCCTGGTTTAGGAAATTGTTTTCCAGCTGGTGACTTGAATGTCTTGAATTGATTCGGTCTTGCCAGCTTTTTAATAAAATAGTGCTGTTAATTACCACCAGCAGTAATGACAATTCTGAATACTGCAGGTGTAATGTAAGTGATTGGAGATCTTTTGTTTCAGCAAATTATCCAAAATTGCTGATGGTGTAAAAAAATAAAAAAAAAAACCCTAATAGCTCAAACATTCAGTCAAATGTAATGTCTGCTTTTAGAAATAATACACCCAGGGGTTTGTATTCAGCCTGATACATCTCTCCAAGACAGACACTGACTATACAGAGCTCCAAGGCCAAGCTTTATAGCGATAAAGCACAAAAATCCAATATACATACACAGACCTCTGGCCAGTGCAAAAGGTCGTATGCCATTGTACCTTGCCTCTGCCTTCACCTAAGCTGCAAACTTATTTCCCTCCATCTGAAGAGCCAGATGAACGTGTCTTACAAAGAATTCAACCTGAAAAAATGAAACTATTCAAAGGTCATCTGTAAGCAAAAAGTAAAAACAGACAAGCTAAAGGTATCAGTATTCAACACCAAACACAGAATAAGCTCACAAGCCAACAAGTTGGTTTACTATTCCACTGTTGAGCTCTCACAATCACTGCAACTAATAACCGATTAAAGGTACTCAGCACTTTTAAAAAGAATTATGTTGCCTCTGCCCAAGCAAGACTTACCTGTCCACCTACGAGCAAACCCCTTTTTTGTCTTTTCTTTTGAGTTTCCTTTCATTCTCTCCCCGTCTTTCATATCTTCTGTCACTTGTCTCCCTGCTCTTCTCACCACTAGCTACCAGACTGTCCCTTGGTGAGAGGCAAGTGAGGATGAAGAGGAGGGGAGAAAGAAAGGAGGGAGAAAAAGTGAGGGAGAATGAGGACTTAGAAAGGGAAATGAATGTGGATGAAGTCCCGGAGCTGTGTCATGTTGCCCATCTCTCTGAGAAGTGAGCATTTATCCTGTCCTTTCTTTCTGTCTTTGGATCTTAAGAGTGGATCTTCTGCTGCCTGTCAGACAGCCTTGCCATCCCAGGAGTGTTTCAACATGCCTCAAGTACATTCTTCCTACTTTAATCCCACACCCTTTTTATACTCTCTCTTTATCATGTATTTTTACCTCGTTTATTTGGGGGTGTAAAATCTGCAAACAAATAAGGCGCACTGTATTTTGCTTGAGGAAATCTGGTGCAAACTGTAGATACATTTGCCTGCTTCTCAAAAGAAGACTTTAAGATCATTTTCAACGATTGCTTTTTCAATAATGCAAAAAAAGAAGAAGAAATAACGAAAAAAGAACGATAAGGGGCTGAAGGAAATAGCAAGAGGAGCTGACCCACCCGATCATCCGTTTACAATACCATCCCCCATTCACTGATAGCAGAGCTGCCTAGTCCCTTCATTAAGCTATCATTACACTCACCGTTTTTTTCTAATTTGTCTTTTTTATCTTTGTTTTTTTATGCATTTCATCATCTTTCAAACACACACACACCCACCAGCATGCACACACCCCTACACTTTGGAGTGCTTCACTTCCCAGAGGTTGTCCATGTGGCTGACAGCAACAGCTGCAACCAACACACCAACGCAATCACACTTTCCAATCAACTACACACAAACATCTCTCGAGTCCTTCTCTCTCTCTTATGTGCACTTACACATACACAGACTCACACCCACCAGCACCACCTGCTTCACTAATGGTACTTCTGCTCTACACCGGTCCCCTCCCATATCTTGCGCTCACACATGGTGCCACCACCCTGTATTTCCAGCACCCTATCCACATTCAACAGCCTCCCACCTCAAGCCTTTTCCTGGGGCACCTCACTCCTGACCTACTGCCCATTAACTGATGCTACCTCACGGCATCACTCTCCTCAAGCAGCGCCGCTCTCCACAAGCCCTCAGCCCAACCCCCCATCCCTGCTTTCACAGAGTGTGACAGGAGGACAGCCAGCTGGTTGGGTAGCACAACATACAGAATCAAAAAATACCTGCCACACAAGTATGCATAGAATTAAGGTTGACATGCCTTGGGATGGTGCATTGCCCATGCTGCGACACGGACCGCTGCAGCTGAAAGTGATCGCGTTTCCTGTTCCCCCTCCTCTTTTTTCCTCTCTCCTCCTCCCCTCCTCCTGTTCTTTGCTTTCTGTTCTTCACAAATCGCTGGGTCTCTCCTTCCTTGTGCCGGTCCCCGCGCTCCTATTCGCTCCTCGCCTTCTACCGTCCTCCTTCCCTTTGTCTCACTCTGGCTTTCTCTTCCCTCCACTGGAACCTCCTTGGCGAGATGGCTTTGGTCCAGCAGCGGCTCCTGACAGCACTGCGCGTGTGTGATTGCGAGCACGTGTGTGTGTGTATGCGAGTGTGTGAGGGAGAGGCTGGGTGGGAGCGCCTGGGTGTGTTTGCGTGAGGGAGAGAGAGGGAAGAGATGGGCGTAATCTTCAGCAGCTTTGGGAGACTGTGCATGCCGGTGCAGGGATGCTCAGCACACAGCTAGGAGTGAAGCACAAATTTTGCCCATGATAAATTCACACTCCCTCACCCACTCTCTCTCACTTCCTCTCTCCATGCCTTATTTCCTACTGAATACACATTATACTCTCGCTCTCCTCTTAAAGACACAGGCGGCACGCTGCATTGCTACATGTCTAAGGCGCATCTCATGATATCGTAATAAAGGGGAGTCCAGGGAGATGGTCCTGC